AGAAGACTGCACGCAGACATTTTTTTTTTTTTAATTGATAACCAGCTTCTACTTCCTTGTCGAGTTTTTCTCTCTGTATTGAATTACGTATCTCATACCGTTCTTTTCCCTCCTTACAGGCTATATTCTCTGAACGCCCACTGTCCTTCATCTCTTCTGAGTATTTATCGTAATTATGAGTGGCTTCTTACTCGATACGCTTTGGTAACAACACATTAACAGCACTACAAGGCCTGAGCCGATCCGTAATGCTCGAGCCTGTCAGCTGCAGGCACTGGCCTCCCTCACTAAACGTCTCGAGAATTTGGTGCAAGCTAACACTGACCATCCCAGGCAAGTCTAGCTGGAGGCACTTGATCAAGAGAGCGGAGCACCACTAAGGGTCAGGACGAAGGATGACCGATAATACCGGAATCGCAAAATAGACTACAACAAGGTTGTTGTTTTATACTACACCACATGTAAATAAATACAGGTGTAGGCTAGGTTTCATAGGCCTTAAAAATAAAAAATTGGAAGTACCTGCTTCTAGCCACTGTTGTTTGCTCCTTGATAAAGCACTGAGCAAACATTCAATTAAATATCCAATTATGCAAACCGATATAAAGAAACGCCACATGGCCAAAAGAGGTAGTCCAAGTAGGGAGGAAAAGCTCATTCCATTGGGTTCTAGCCTCCAGGCTGCTGGCAAAATCTCACCGGGCCAGTGAGATTATTTTTACAAGCTCTTCTGCTAACATGCCTTGTATGAAGGACATGACATACGGTTTCAGGGAGAGATCCTGCCCTGCAATGGGCCCTGAGATCAATTTAAGGCAACTTTTCATTCTTGCAGTGCTCAGAGGCAGTTTCATCATGACTGAATGTCCAAATTAGACTTTGCTAAAGAGACGTGCAAATACAGGTTTGCGACGAAAGGAAAGAGGAAAGCGTGGCTCATCAGTCCTCTGTGAGATTTTTTAATAGGGCTCAATTAATATTTACTGCCTCCAGTAGCACTTAACAGCAGACTAGTAAGAGCAGTGTAAATAGGTCAAACGACAGTGAGGCTGCTCAGCTGCATAAAACTGCAGGATCAGGCCCTTACCATGTTTAAGCCGCCAAACACATCTGCAATGAATAACTGCATGTACTGTAGTTAGACTGCAGTACTTCCCAAAGAGAAGACGTCTCCTAAGTTAAAAACGCAGCTCTGAAGGAGCAAGTGCTAAGAGATGCCTACAGAGATAGCTGATGGTCAAGTCCCTGAAGAATGAGATTATGTCTTCACATGGAGAAGAGGAGCTGCTTCAAGGAATACCCTCCCACGCTTCTCAACATCTACTCTTCAAATATGTCCAAGTAACGCTTGGAACAGTTCTAAAGCAGGGAGGCGGGACTCTGAATCCTACGGGAAATAACCTCCTTGTATTTGTGACACAGTTTGCTGGGGTTTTCTTCTTCTTTTTGCCTTTTTAATCTTACTATGTATTTCGGCTCACGTCAAATAATGCCAGATGCCCTATGCACATCAGATGCCTGTAACAGGCTTTAAATAAAAGTGGTCTCACACAGATTTAACCTATTAACTGTATAAATAATAAACACGAGAAGCAAAGAACTGCAAGACAACCACATTTCTAAAGGGGGATCTTTCTTTAAAAAAAATTACCAGTAGAAAGCTCTTGGTTTCATAACTAATCAGAAAGAATCCGGAGAAAGAAGAGGATCTCAATCACAAATCCAAGTCTGTAGACAGGCTTCAAACCAGTATTTAAAGGAGAAGTGTTGCAGAGAGGAAGCTGATGATGCATTAAAATTTCTTCGATTTACTACATAAAACTATTTCTGAGATGATCTAAATGGCTTAACAGCAGTAATCCTCTTGTACACTGGTGAGCAACATTAAAATGCCATGCAGGGGTACGTACTAGGAATACCTATGACTAACTGAATCTCTCTCTGATCCAAAGGTACTTAAGTATTATCTTTCCAGATGAGCCAGTACTGACAACGCTGACGGCTGCAACCACAGGACGCTCATCGCCAGCAGAAGAGAACAAGGTCTAAATTACCGCCTTTCCACTTGTGAAAAGGCAGAAGAAAAGGACACAGAAAAATCACATATGAAGAATAAGACAAGAAATAATTACAGTCCTCTGATTTCAAGTAAAACGACCAAGATGGGAAACTTTATAAAGCTTCTTCTCCAGCTGAAGCAGAAACCCAGCTGGGTACATTATACGCGCAAGAAATAAGGGCATGAGCAAAATTTTGACAAGTGGGTTGATGGAATAAGATTGGATTTCCGCAAAGCATTCAGAACAGATGAGTTTTTGGATGAGTTTGCAGAACAGCCTGATCTTTAAAAGCCTTGTCAGCATGCCAAGCGGGAATGATCACCCAATGAAAAACAACTTTCCAGGATACGGTACTAAAGATACTGAGAACAAAATTGTTCCAAAAAGATTTTCATTAATTTAGCCAGAACAAAGTTAATAACCCATGACATAAATGTTTCTTTCTTTACCAGCTTGTTAAAAACACTAAATTCTCCCCTATAAAACCTCACAGCCGGAAGCTGACAGAGATTTGCTTATTCTTCTCCCAAGTCGTTAAATAAATAATTAACCAACAATAGCTGGTAAGAAACCTTGACAACAAAGAATCATTAATATGAAATTGCCCGAGGGAAAACGCGCCAGGGATTTCCAAACCGGTGTTAATCAAACAACTTCAAAGCGGTGCAAGGCCTGAGCCCCAGCAGGTGGTCACTGCTGCTGGTGGACTCGTGCCGCTGACACAGAGCTGGGAGCTACTGCAGCCTCCGGCAACAGGGTAATTTAGAGATGTACTTCTGTACTGCAAAAGGGCAAAACTATTTTTTTTAAGCAGAAGAGAGGAAACAGAAGATTGGAAGTACCGGAACCGAAGGGCCACTAATAACACATCAGTCATATTTAGCAACAAGTATGAGCTGTGTGCCCACAAGGTGTTATTTAAGATGTTTTGGCAACATCTATGAAAAAAGAGGCAGATACGGAACACTTCAGATACAACCGCACATGCTAAGAGCATCCTGTATTCAATCCGCAGAAACCTAAAGGTAATTCAGGATCATTTGGAGGGGGCTGACTTGAGAGACTGGTAACAGCGCACGATATCCTTCACCTTTCAGCATATTTCCCTCCAGTGGGGCTGGACACGGAAACCCTGGAACGGACTTCCAGAAGGCAACCTATCTGCCGCCCCGAGAGGAAAGAGCACCCTCCTTGCACCTTTTCCTTGTCTCTTAGTTCAGAGAGAACGAAGCTCCTTCAGAGAGAAGGAACTAATGGGCAAAGCAGCACATGACTACTCCATCCTTTTAATGACAGCTTCTATGGTGGTATAGTATTTCTGGAAGACAAAAATCTGAACCCTGAGGATGTTTTGCTTCTCAAGGCCCACACGTGTCAAGCAATAGGAAGGGTGTTTACGTTCCTAACGGGTCCTTGTCAGTTTAGAAGAAGGGAGTGAGGCTATTCATGCTAACAAACCAATTACTGGTTTAGTAAACAGCAACTTGCTCCGAGAGGTTGACTGTCAGAGTCCTCCAGACGAGTCTCTGAGTACGATTTTGCACAAGCCAGCATAGACAGCAATATCCAAAACCCTGCCATAATGTAAGACTGTTTCCCCCTTGAGTGATCTGTTGGTACAGGACAGACAGATTTTTCAACATGATGGAAACCGCTTTGACTCTCTGAAACGAGCGGCTTTTCTCCTCCTTACTGCATACCTCCAAGTTGCTAATAAAGTAGTAAAGCTCATTTTCTTTCTGGGCCAGGAGGAAACCAGGCTTTCTCCTGGTGCAGGAAGGACAGAGCAGCGGTCAGAGCTGCAACGCACGGGATTAGCGCTTCTCAATCTTTGCCTACGGGGGAACGCGAGCCAGCCAGAGCTTCAAGGTGGAAATATCCATACCTCTCCCTTGAAGGCTTTCTTTCCGTCTCTGTAGCTACAACCTGTTAGTAGGGCAAAACCCAACGACCAAACATCCCCGCAGAGGTTCCTTGGCAAGCCTTTCCCCGCCTCTGTCTCTCCTGGTGAGTCTGCCCGGCCTCGCGGGGCTGCCGCGGCCCAGCAGCGGCCAGCCTGCTCCCCGCTGCCTGACCGAGCCCTTCACACCCCACGCCCCACGCTGGCACCTCCCACATTCGGCCATCCCATCCTTAGGCGTGCCACCTAAGAGCAAGACTTGATTTGCCATAAAACGGTTCTGATCAAGCTTACATCTCAGGCTCTCCTAAGTTTTATGTTTTATCCAGCATCTCCCACAGTACTAGGAATGAGATTCTTAACAGTATCTAAAGCAACTCAGACTCATAGAGTCCCACTGAAAGTCCAAAGCCTTCACACTTCAATTATTGTACCATCCCTGGAAATGGCACCTGAAATTAAGCTTAAACTTAAATTAGTTTAAGAAAAACACAAGAAGCCCCGAGATGTTGCCTACATCAAAGTCAAATCTGTTACGAAAATCTGGAACGTGCACTAGCAGCACATATTTCACACGTTCAGACAATTACCAGCTGCTAGAGACTTCCGAGGCTATTGAAATGGGACAGACCGAACACATCAGCTGGATTCAGGCCATTTAACTAAATACGAAACGCTCCACAGCCCGGTACCTATCAGAGTCCTGTTATCCTCAGAGATGAACTCTCACATCAGACGTTTAATAGGCACAAATATAATAAGAAGCAGTAACACCACCAAGGTTCTTAACAGGAGGAAATCAGCCAAAATCAGCACAACCGCTTGCTAGTACTTTACAAACATAACATCAGATCCAAAGCCATCAGTCCTGGGAAATAAAACAAAATTAACTTAAGCCAGGAAAAGGTTGACCAAAAGCAACGTGTTCACATCTAAGTGTACTCATTTTATTCTTCCATCTCCTCTGAAGTTACCCAGACAGAAAACTACCTCATGTCAAATTCCTAAGGAGAACCTTTCTGCCAGGCACAGCTACTGACCTGCAGCATCTGAAGATAGCCTTCCTGGGGATCACACAGCAGCGATGAGATTCGGTGGTTGTTCCTCATGCACCTCTGATTGTTGTCCCTTGAGAGAGGGAAAATTTGCCGGATAACTGTCATCCTCCCCAGAGCACTATGAACCAACTCTAATATTTCATTGTCAGTGATTTCCTGCAAATGGAGACAGTCTTTTAGAAGCATATACTTATCCACACATTTTATATATTCCTTTTCATTATTCGACAGATGTTTCTCAACAGACAATGGAAGAAAAAGATTACACACGCGCATATTTAGTCTGGGCCAAACAATCTTATTTTGTGTTTAATAGCAGTGATAGTATTTTTTTTATGCATCATCTCAAACAGAAAAGAGCTCAACACCGTCCCATCTACCTTGGCAAGCCTAACGCTCTGGGGAGGTAGGTCCTCATTGTAAAGTACAGGGATAGTCTCAGTAGGTTTTAAATAAGGAACAAGAGCCTTTAGCCGGCGTCCAGACCACATTTATTCAGAAAGAGAGTTGGCTTAACAGAACCTCACTGCATCCCCAGAACAAAACCACAAATGCAAAGTACAACTGTATTTAAGAAAGATGGTCCTTACACTTACAGGGGCCTGAGGACAACTTTACAAGAAATTTCCTTTCCCCTAAGAGCAACAGATCACTTCTGCAAGCTAAGGCTGACAATGACGCAATTAAATCTTTGACGTTCCCTGAATTAGGAAAAGATATCAACAAGAGGGGAAACTACGGAAGGAGCTGAAACATTTAGGGATGCAAGTTGCCTCATACAGACTAATTTGGGATGAGAAGTAAGGAAGCCCCAAGGACAGACAGGCTGCTCCTGTTTCCAGGCTTGGCGTCTCAGAGCTGCTCTGCCGACCTTCCCGCGTCCCAGCCTCCCGTTTCAGTCTGGAACAAAGCCTGCATTTACTGCCCTTACACTGTGGCTGAAGCCATGGGACCTACACACTTCACGTATTCTGTACGGGGGAGGGGGGAGAAGAAAAATTGTTACTGTAGGAAAAAGAGTTCGGAAATCAGGGGCGTAGCTGACCCCTGAAATCACAAGAGCGGTACAGCTTGCGATGGCAATTCCCTGCCAGGACTTGCCATGGGAGCAGCGCTGCCGGCCACGCTCACTGTCCGGGTGCCCCATCCGCAGGGGGCTGCTCTCCAGCCCAGCTCTTGCACCCGCCAACAGGGTGGGCACGCCCAGGCTGACAGCTGCCTGCAGTGGTGGCCTTACCCTGTCCATCACTGGGGACCGGCACCTCGTGACGTGCTGTCAGCGGGAGTGAGCGTGGGCCCCTATTTTTAACATTTAAGAAAGTAAGTATTTTGTTTTCTTGCTGTTCGCTCTGTCAAACTGAGTGAAATGACTGTGGGGTTATTATAATTACTTGCTACGGTCCACTAGTACTGCAGCTTTGGCTCCATTCAGTTCCTTTTGCCAGTTTCCCATCCTTTTTAGGGGTATGGATTTTTTAACTCCGCAGAAGACGAAATCCTTTGTGTTAACAATAGACCAACTGCTGCAGAGAAAAAACCCGGAAAATTAGAACACAGATATAATCCTGAAGAAGCCAAAGATTTTGAGGCTTATTAGGGAAGTCTGGGATGCCCCTGTCACCTTGCGGGGAGCCACGGCCGCAGTCCAGCAAGCCTACAGACCCCTCCAGATGGCTGCTGCCTTTGGTTTCTCAGCCCTGGGGCTCAGTGCCGGTAAAACCACACAGCGCGTCGAGCCTTCTGCCACCGGGGTCTCAGGGAGAAACGTTTTTATGGGACAGCTTTAATTCGTAACCCTCTAGGCTGCATCCTCAGGCAGCAAAATCAGACTGAGCGCCTGGGAAGAGGGGAAGCCTCCTGAAAAAATATTTCGGGAAGCAGACATAAGGCTAACTTTGACCATTAGCTTTTGGTAGCGTCCTCATTGCCCAACTCCAGAATGAAAGGGTTTTCCTTTACAATAGTTTTTTCCTGTGTGCGTGGCATATCAACGGTGAAGTTCAGCTTTGAAAAATTTGTGGCGTTCATTTAGCTGTTTATTTGCACACAAGTATTGGTCATTTGCGGCATTCGTTTATCAATTTATTTATCCGCACACAGAGAACTTCAGCTGGTTTGTAGTATCTTGCCATTTTACTCAGGGGAATATTTAAATCCGCCCTAGTTGCGCTCAACTATCATAATACAAATTGCAAAATGAGACAATTATGTTTCACATTAAAATCTCTATTTTCCTAGAGGTAACGATAGAAAATTATAAATTTTAATGACATTAATAATTTAAAAGAACCAAAAGAGATTTCCAGAAAGCACGTCCCTGAGAAAATTGGAGGATTAAATCGAATGGCAATGAGCACCAGGATGCTCACGGACACAAGCTGCAGATTTACGGGGAATTTCCGCATTAGGATCGATACTACTTGTTGGGTTATTTTAAGTCTCCTGAATGTACTTAGCACATCTATAAAGGGACACTAGTCTCACTTGTTGAAAATCCAGAAAACATCCCTCTATAAGCTGGCTTTAAAACATTCGCAAGAGCTTACAGTGCAGATAGATTTACTGAAACTTAACATTACGCTGGCCTCCCTACACCCCACATGAACAGATACACATGTATATATATATATAAAGGTTAATCCTTTAAGGCAAGGGGACAACCCATTTTTCTCAGCACAGGCAACATTTTAACACGAGTCTGCAATGTAGACCACCTGTGCTGAACTCCCATCTTCACTGCCCTCCCACACATATGATACCACCTCACTTCTCCTTTTACCCAATACCCCTAAAAATTCCTACAGCGATATATGCATAATTTCATTGAATTAGCTATATTGGTAAATATAATGACTCCACACTGCCTGTCAAGCAGTCTTTCTCAGGTCATAGTGAGCACCTGTACAGTAAAAGATCCTCTCATTTGACAAAATATTATTTCATACTAAAAAATAACTGTATTGGAAAAAGTGAAAAGCATGCAAAATGGTGGCTATCAGAAGCTGAACAAAACAGTAAATTGCCATTGATTTTAACATGGATTTCACTGCTAAGAGAACCAACAACAAAAAGCTGGTCTAACCTCACCGCTCGCTTACTAGAGACTGCTTCCGCGTAATTCAACGGCAACAGAATTAGGTCAATTCTGTACCCTACGAATTATTTGCAGTGGGATGCAGGTACCTACACCGTACTGTTTCGTGCTACATGTATTTTTTATATATACACACACACACCTTTCAAGGGTATTTAAGAAAGGGGAAACTAAACATTTCATGGAAAAACATCTGCCATGCCAAAGGCAGCAGCTGAAAGGTGAGAAGCAAGATTTTTCTAGGCAAGTAGTAAATACAGATTACCTGGAAACAAACTGGAATAAATTCAGACATGCAAATTATTAACTTCTGCAATGAAAAATGTCATTTGCTAAATCTTAAGAAATTTTCCATAGAGCGTTTCTTTGACTTCTATTCCATTTTTTGATTTTTTTAAGCTGTGTATTTTTTATAATTTGAAAAGATTACCCAGAATGCGTGCCCTACTTACATTTGTGAACTATCTTTATAAACTCTGCTTTTTTCAAGCAAAGATAGACACAGTAAAGTATAAAAGATTTATTTTCTTCTTGATCTCAGAAGAAATACATGCATTATTACTCTGAATGATTATTTAAAAAAAAAAAAACTTTTTGTACTTAAGAACACATACAGAAAGACTAGAATTCTGGCTTATCAGACAGTCCTAGCTCCCTTCAAGTACAAAGAAAGCCATGACCACTTGCACAGGCCTTCAGACCTCACTGTTGGTCACCCAAAGGCTATGTAATACAAGGATTTCTAGCAAAAAAGAAAAGCAGAGAACAAACGCTGCACTCCTAAGGGATCTTTCTTCCCAAGCCATGAATTCCCTCCAGATTCCCCTACAAGTCCTGCAACAAGTGAAAACACTGTTCATCATGTATTGTCTAACACCTCACCTACATGCTAGCCTCGGGGGGGGGGGGATAAAGTAGTTTGCTGGCATTCACTTTATTTGGTAATTGCTATCCTCTTCTCTCATTTTTCTGAGCCTTTTGAAAAATATTTTAATAGAGGAAAGCGTGTACCCAGGTGAAGACTGAAAAGTCACTTGATTCTTAAAGCGAGGGGATAGTAACTATGGATTTACCGGGCATGTCTGACGTGATAAAAGGAAAGATATAAAGCGGTGGGGCTAAAGAGCAGAAATGGAAAATCAGAAATACGTGACATGGGACAGACAATGCAACACTTCCTCATTCCTCATATGACAAACAGCCCCTTCACTCAAGATGGTGGCGAAGGACCTATGAACACAGCAGAAGTGATAGGACTGAGCTAGGCAGAGTCCGGTAAAGGGTGAGTGGAAAAGCATTCAGAGGGAACGCGCTGAAAGGAGAAAGGAAAACATCACAAAACCACAATTTTTTTTTCATACTTGGCTCTGGTTGTTCAGCTGGGCTGCATCTGCGAATGCCTTATTAATCCGCTGAAGGCCTCGAAATCCAGCTGCTGGCAGCACCACCAGCAGCACGCAGAATGTGTCACTGCTCCAGAAGGGCAGAATCAGGTCAACTGCTGTCTAAAATTTTAGACTCGTATTCAAGTGCTGTGGTTACCCAACCATGCTGGGTAACATCATCCCAACACAGCCTGGAGTTCCCCCGTTCCTTGGCACTCTAACTTCCTGCCTGAGACCTCTTGCCCTGATGAAACTTATACTCTATCTGTATTTACAAAATCTTTTCGTTACTACTCCTGCAAGAAATTACGAGACGTTTTCTTCTTACTTCGCTTTTCCCTTCTCCCCCTCCTCCACAACTGCCAGGGCTTCTTCTGACTAGTATCATCGCAGCCTGCAAGAAGTTATCCAAGCACACTGCTGCTGCAATTGCTATAGCAGTTTCCTCTGTGCTTACTGTCTCTAAATTTTCCATTCCAAGATCCTTTCTGTGGACTGGAAAGAGAAAATGTCGAAGAGCAGCCCCACCTGGATGTTACTTTCCTTTACTTTTATTTTGCAATCGAGACTTACAAGAGTTTCATCCATCTAAGGACCAAATATTTTGCTTTTCTATAGATTTTGAATCTGTAGGATACTTCATTCCTGCATCTATTAGCCTCAAGCTATGTATTTCA